GTAGATTGATTATATTATTAGGCTTAAGACTATAAACAGGTTGATTCATACTCTGCAATACTGCTGTAGAGTCTCTTTTTCTACTCTTCGAATTTGTTGATCAATCTTTAAATGGATAGACTTCTACAAAACTTACAGGTAATCAAGCTGTCGAGAGGCATCCGCCAATTTTGCAACATTGTCAACTGCAAAACTTTTCTCAATGTAACAAGTATGGATTCATATGCAAATTTGATTTATACTGTATCAGTATCAGATCTAGGTGTGATGGTTATTTTGATTGTATCGATAAGAGCGATGAAGCCAACTGTAGTTTTATCCATGAGTTAAATTTTCCAATTTCGAAACGAACTGTTCATCCATTGTATATCTGCGATTATTATAATGATACACAAACTGCAGAAGATGAGATATTTTGCAGTATTTGTTTACATTTTTTGCATTTTTATGTGATTTATAGTTATTTTTCTATGGACATAGAATTTCCAACCTGCAAAGGGAATGACAGGTAGCCAATTGGATTTGACTTAGGATTACAGTAATAAACTGTATACCAAAACAGAAAATGTAAGAATCATTACTGCATTGATGCCAGGAAATTTTGCAACAACGAAAGGGACTGCACTGACTACAGCGATGAAGATTGCAGTAGTAAATGAAACAGAATTAACTAAACTAACAGCCATATATAAAATATATTAAACAGATAATTGCAGTCCAAAACAATACAGGTGCCAAGATGGAAGTTGCCTGCCCAACTCTTATAAATGCGACTGGAAAGTCGATTGCAGTGATACTTTAGATGAATATCATAATTTATGCAATCATATCGATAGATATTATCATAGTGTTTCCCTACCAAAACATAATAAAGATCAATTTCTTTTTGACTCTCGGCCAATAGGAAATGCTTCTTGCACATTGAAATACAATTCGATGGATTTCCTTCTCAGCCAACCGCATATTCCATTTAGAGACCTGCAAAATTGCCACTCTAACAATCAGTGCAAATGCGGTGAATATAAATGTAAACAATTCAATTATTGCATTGCAGTAGATAGAATTTGTAATGGAATCTCTGATTGTCTGCTAGGAGATGATGAACTTCAATGCGGTATTAATTGATTTTGTTCATTCAAGTTTTATACATATTATTTACAATAAAATGTCATTTTAACAATCCAACTTAGACGTTTTTACTACTACTGCCAATGGATTCTTTAAGTGTAGAAAGGAAGTGAAATTACTTAAACCGTCTGAAATTTGCGATGAAATACCCAACTGCAAAGACGGATCAGATGAGTCATTTTGTGAATTGTTTATTTGTCCCGATTCCTGTTTGTGTAAGAGTCCATTTCAAATGGAATGCAATAGAAAACTACCGGAAATAATTCCGAAAACGATAAGAATCTTGAAACTGCTTAGTCACGGAGAGTTTGTTGTTGGTTTGAACAACGATAATTCAATTAATTATCAATTAATATATTTGGAAATATTTTTGAAAAATTCAAGTTCTTTTCAAAATTTCTCTTTATTGAAATATCCAAATATTCATTATTTAGACATGAGCAGAAATATGATTACAACATTTTCCAGTCATATTCTAATGATTCGAGAGAATTTAAATTATTTGAATTTAAGTAGAAATAACATAAAAGATTTGAGTAGTATCAACTTGAATAATCTAGTTAATCTCTTTATGTTGGATTTGTCTTATAATGGAATAAGAATATTGCTGTTGAGTACTTTTAAAGAAACTGTAAATTTAAGAAACTTGAATTTGAAGGGAAATTCAATTGTGGATATTCAAAAGGAAGCACTTAGTTATCTTACCAAATTAGAATCCTTAATGATATATGTAGATATAAATCTTATATTCTCATTAACTGTTGACTCTTTCAACAATTTAAAATCATTAAAGTTCTTACAAACTAACTATTATTTCATTTGTTTGTATACCAAACAATACGGAGGAGAAAGAGAAAATGTCATCTGCTACTGGAAATTTTCAATATTTAAACGGTTGACCCGGATCAATTTAATTTTATTTACAAAACTTTTTTTTGGTCTGCTGCTAACATTTTCAATTTTGTTGATTTCATTGAATATTTTAAGCCTATATTTGGGATATGAAACAAAATTCAATTATAACAATATTACATTCCTCCTGAATGATATTTTAATAACTGTTCATGTATTATTTAACCTTATTTTAATAATTGAATATTCAAAAGATGATTTCAGTAGTTATTTTAGGAAATGGGTGAAAAATGAAATTTGTTTACTATGCCATTCATTCATTAACTTTTCAACAGTGTCATTTTTTCTCACACATACATTGCATTACTCATTTCTGATTATGAATAAGCATAGCACTCAGTCCTTACAATTAATCTTCATGATGAGATGTCTTTCCGTTGCCTTATCAATGATAATCACATGCATTTTAGGGTTTTTCTTTAAAGCGAACACTATAAATTGCTTATATCTCTGCTCTTATCTCGTTTTGTCGGTTGCTGATAATACATTTTTCATTCGCGCTCTATTGGCTTTTCTACTCATTTTTCCTCTTCTTTGCCTTTCTTTTATCCTAATAACAAACATTGTTATGAAAATACCAACAATTAGGTCAAGATATGGAAATTTTTTACTAATACGGTTTACCTGTTTTATCTTGAGTATTTTAACTATTCAAATTTTGGGTAAAAAATATTTGAATTCATTTTGGCAAACAGACAAAATCTGTGATAAAATTCTCTTCCGTTTTGTTTAGGTTACACTTTGAAGGATAAAGAACTCATCAATGAATTGAAATATATTATAAATTCTTCTCTAATTCTACCGATCATCTATAACTGTTCCTGCATTACTGTCTTTAAACGATTGGTCTCTTATTGCCGGCAAAAAAGTTGTTATAACAGGTATAAGTTTAAGTCATTTTCAACAGCACACAAACTTTGACAGATTCAATTGATAGATTAAGGAAAAAGAAGGAATTCTATAAAACTACAATATTTCCAAGTAGGTTCTTTAAGTTCAAAAATCATAACTTTTGGAATCTTTAAAGTTGTAATTGACCGTATAGTAGTAGAGCTCTGCCACGAAGAGTTAATCCTACGGGAAAAGACCATTTTTCCCATTAAAAAAAACTATAAATACCCTTTCGAAATTAAAGTTACAATTGAAAATGTATTTCTACTGTTGGAGAGAGTTCATAAGAATTCTCTGTTTATTGGCAAAGATATTGAAAGCGTGTTACTTTTGACAGAGGTGATCCTAGTACAACTTTTTCTAACCCAGTTTGTTCTAAAGGATTCTTACATCTATCCTTCATTCACTCATTAACAGAATAATGTAAATGCAATAATAAACAGCTTGGAATTTTGTGCTTTCAATGACAATAATCAACGTTTAAACATCAATGGTGTAGGACTACTGCTAAGGAATTTACTAAGACAGTACCACATTCAAAAATTGTAGGATGAATTCGTGTTTGTTGTAGTACTGAAGTATTTCTTTTAAAAAATAAACTGTAAATAGAAAAGAATCACCCAAACCAATCAATCAGTAGGGAACAAAAGGATGGCATAGAATTTCAATATTTTAATTTCATCTAAAATATGAATAAAACTAATAAGTTTATATTAAAAAAAAGTGTTTACTCAGTTGTTTGTCTATTCTTTCAAAATTTCAAATATAAGATAATTTTGAAAACTTAGTGATTGTAATGATTTTTAAATTATTCCTAATTACTTTCTGCAAGTGGGAAGTGTTGACTCAAAACTATGAATACTATGACTATTCTGCCAGTGTAGAAAAAATAGATTTCCATCCGACATTTTCTTTTTACATTTCTTTTATATTTTCTAGAATCTAATTGAAAATTTAATAGGAAAATTCAAATTGGAAAATGCAACTTGTACATCAAAATTCTGTTTTGGAAATTTATACTATATTGAGAAGACTAGCAAGAGAAGAGTCGTGCACGATATCAATACTCAATCGCGTATTGTTTTCAGTAAAATTTGCGGTCTAATGGAATATGATCAATTAAGAATTGAAGTATATTCTTTCCTAAACCATCATCATACTCAACAAAAATTAACCAATCAAAAGAAATATCCTGAAATCTACATATTTCATAATGAAAACACAAATCAAATTCTCTTTCATCTGACAAACATTCCTAAGCCTACTGTCCCTATTGATCTAAAGTGTTTTTTCACAAATTATACATGTATTTGTTCAGTTTTTCCATTGTTTGTAAATTATACATTCCCATATTTCTCTCCTCTCTTCCCCTCTTTCTCTCTCTCACGCTCTCTCTAGATTATTATACCGTTTACCACACGCTGGAGGCAATCAATTATTACAGACGATTTAATAACACGTCGTCTGTCAATTGCAAACTGGACAAACCTTGCAAAAATGGAACTGATATTGTTACGTTTTTACCGCAATATTTTCAAAAATCTGAAGAATTGTTTACAAGAGATATTGTGGAAAATATTTCGCAATGTTCAATAGGATTTTGTTCACAGAATTCAAACAAAAATAAAAGTTCATTTAAATGGATTAAAGATTGGAATGAAAATGGAAATAATTGGTCCGATAATCCAAGCTCTATTGATTTACTAATTCCAAACTATTGGGCATTCAATGATGAGATATTGACTCCTCTATTGATTGAATTTAAAGACAATTATCAACTGTTGAACACTCTATCAACAATATGCCGACAACATAATAAGCAATTTCACTATGTTCATTCTGGAAGGAAAACATACATGCTATTCAATTTTTATCATTTATACTTTAGCGAGAATCTTATACAGACAGTCACATGCTCTAGAGTTAGAAGAACGACCAAGGAATGTCACCTAGTCCAACAACAGTTTAGATTCTATGATCATTATGGTGTAAAGTTGAAATGTTTTAGCAAAACTCTACAGTCTCCTTTTCCTCCTTTCGGTGAGAGAAGATTATAGTACGTAGGGAAAAATGGTGAGGGGGTTGACAGACTTACTCTAATCCAAACTGTTGCAACTTCCAACCAAGTTTTTCCTTTGTATTCATAGTATTAATGATAATAAGACCATTGACGATGCTCTTCATTAGATAATTCTCTTAGATTAAGTAATTTTCATGCTAAGTTGTACTCATCCAATCTGTCAAATCACAATGTTTTCACTGGAGAATTACAAATTCTCTATCAAGGATTTTGGTATCAAATATCTCTCCTGGGTTCAACTCACAAGGAAATTAATCTCATTTGCAAACACTTTCATTTTAAGAGAGGAACTGTTCATGTTCAAGAAAATGTTGACGTCATGGAAAATTTCCCTCTAGTGACTTTATCATGCTCAAAAGAAGCCAGAGACATCCGTGATTGTTCTATTAATAATTTTATGGAACCTTTTCTAGTTGGAACAATGTCATTAACTGTTTACTGTTCTAAAATGACGATGGTCGACTGCAAAGAAACATCGAATGAAACTGCAACTATATTTAAATATCTAAATAGTTGTTATTACCTATACAGATTTTCGAATATAGTGAATTTTAACAAAGCTGAACAGTGGTGTTTGTCAAAAGGAAAGAGATTGGTAGGAATAACTGACCAGGACGAAGCTAGATTTCTAGAAAATGCTCTCATGTCGTGTAACTTGAATGTTAGTAAAAATTTGATGGAAAGTATAAGAAATTTTAGACTGCAATGGAAAATTCCTACTGGTTGAGTAGACAAACTATTATTTTTCAAAAGTGTTAACAGTTTGTTTGTTCTCTTACAAACACTCAGGGACAATAAATGGTAAAGGTAAAGTAGATACTTATGCCACTAGCGATGGTATTTCCTACAATTTAGCTGCAATGTGGGCCATAAAAGCATCCATAGCAAACAAAAGGTATACGTTTATTTGTATCCTTTTCAAAGTATGTTTTTAATATCATAATTACAATGAAAAGGTGTACAATCAACGTAAATGAACCACATTTCACCTGGTACAGTAATCCTTGCACAAGGCTTCAAAAATATCAGAAATTCAATTACTATGGTCTCTACTCAACAGATTGTTCAAAAACTCTGTTCAAGAATATCTTTTGTGAACAAGAAATGGGTTAATTAGAAAAAAAGAATTTGAACAATTCGCAAATTGTTTCCCTTTTTATTCAGCTCTTTTAATTCATTTTTTTTCTTTTTCAACAGATTTCATAAAGTCTGATGATAATAAAAATAAAATCATTGACTATCGTCAAAGTATTGCTCATAATGAAAATCTTGTTAACTCGGCTGTTAAGACAACTTATAGACATATAAATGAAAGTTTACGTAAATTGTTTGAATGTAAAATATCAAAGGAATTTATAAGTTTAATCTTCAAATGTGATAATTTTAACGATTGCCAAGACGGTTCTGACGAAGAGCACTGTCCAAATCTTGGAAAATTATCTGGTACTTTTCGATGTGATAATGGTACAAAACTGCTTGGAGTTGTTCACCTGTGCAATTATTTAAATGATTGCTTGGATAAATCTGATGAGAAGAATTGTTGTAAGTATTCTTTTGTTCATGTAGCGTAGAAAATAATTGAATAAAGGTAAGGAAGGATTTTCTCTTTTTAGACTTTGAAAAATGTAGCAACTACTTATGGTAAGTAAAAATTTAGTGACTGTCCTATCTAACCTTGACCGATATTTAAAGGACTTGCCATAATCAACAATGCATCCCCAGAGGGGTAGTATGTAATTCTGTAAATAACTGTTTTGATGGATCAGATGAAAAGAACTGCACGAAAGCAGGTTGATTTGACTATTTTAGGGTTAACATAGCCCGGATGAGACTGAATTTATATGCATCATTTATGCTGAGACCTTCTTCCTAGCTTCTAACCATCATATCCTATCCATGAAGCTCTCTCTCTCTCTCTCTCTAGCTCTTTTTTCCTTCCAGCTATGACTTTCTCCATTTTATCCTAAATGCATGACACAAACTTTTAATTTGCACCTTTCTACTCGGCTAAGTAGATATGACCTTCCCTTTTATTGGCTGTAGGATCTTTTGCTATAAAATATAGGGTACCGGAAGTATCTCCCTTACAAGGAGATTTCTTTTGTGTCGTTGCATCTCAATTCAGCCGCATCCCAAAATATTTATCTACAGATGTTTATGATTGCGCTTATTTAGGCAGTTATAGCTTTCTCTGCAATAGTGGATATCTGATTAGCAAAGCTGATGTTATGGATTTTAAAGTAGACTGTTTAACGTCTGAAGATGAAAATATAAAATTTTCCTTAAGGTAACTTCCTGAATTTTTTTCTGAACAAGAACATGAAAATAATTTCAAAAACAGAAGAAGCTACAACACACTCTGGAGAGCGTCAAAGTGTAATCACCATTATAAAAACAGAGATTCAAACACATTGTTCCTACAGTCAAATCTCTATCGTTAGTGCTTTAAACAACCAATTTTCTTGAATTTTCCCATAAGTTTATTAACGAAACTTGTAATTAAAGATATTTATGAATACTACGCTTTCAAACATAAAGCAGGTAAGTTGGATATAATACTCCCAAGATGGGATATTTAATGGAGATTTCAACGTTCGATTAGACATCTTCAACAATTGTAGATTCGTCTATAACACACTTTATCTTAGGCAAACAAAAACTAATCCTCCCTGGAACCATTTAAATGGCTGTAAATACTATGAAAAGTGTGAAAAAACTGATTATAGGTGCGCAGGAAATGGATATTGCATTGAGGTAAAAAGAGTATGTAATGGAATATATGATTGTCTCCTGAAAGATGATGAAATTGGTTGCGGTTTGTATTTCGTCATCATCAATATCACTGTCATAATGCTTACCATTCGCTATTTCAGAATCTTACGCTCCAAAAGGATTCTTCAAGTGTAGAAAAAGTCATATCTTCCTCTCAGTGGCTGATGTTTGTTCTTTGAACTCGGCTGACAAATGCACACAGGATTTTATCACATGTCCCACAAGCCAGTGTCCAGAAGGAGATGACAAACATACTAGATTATGTTTCAGAACAGTTTTCTGCCCGACCGGATGCTCTTGTTTTTCACCCTATGACATTAACTGTAGCATAAGTATTAACAAAACAAAAGATCATGACCTAGTTATTAATGGTCTAGAATTGAATTCAATGGCACAATCTATCCGTATGGTACTAAACTATTTCTATGAAGAGACTCCAATTTATCTATTCAAACTGATAATAAAAAATTCGAATTTCTCCCTTTTTCATGATCTAAATAATTATTTAAATTTGAAAATTTTACTTGTAGAAAATTGCAATAAAAACTCTTTGGAATTGAATGAAACAACATTTTCTAGCTTGATAAATCTTTACTATTTGAATTTGACAAACAATAACATTGTTGGTGTGGCTCATAATACTTTTGAAAAGAATAAGGACTTGGAAATCATTGACCTTTCCTACAGTAAAATTAGTGTACTTTATAATCAAACATTCCGTTCCCTCGGTAAACTTCGAGAATTGCGAATTGAACATTCAATCATAAATGAACTTGAAAATTCAATATTTAACAATCTTAATAAATTGATAAAAATATCTTTAAAGCAAACTACTCTATCAACTATCTATAGTATTAGATTAGATATCTTTAAATATACTCACAAGCTAGAGATATTACACAGCAAATATAATATTTTATGTTGTTTTGCTGAAAAATACAAAAAGTTGAAAGAATGCAAACCGGAAATGACAATTTATTTTTCATGTGGGGAATTAATTAATTCAAATTTCTTAAAGAAAATTGCTTACATTATCATCGTAATTGGTTTTTTTGGCAATATATCTTCATTCTTTTTTAAATTAAAGAATATAAAAAGACCAACAAATCTTCTCAACTTAAGCTCAACATTGGCAGACTTTGCATTTATAGTATATATCTGTGTTATCACTATACAGGATGCTGTCTATAAAGACAATTACTTAGAGTATGATTGGAAATGGAGACATAGTAAAATGTGTAAAATTTTAGGAATAATCAGCAGCTCTTCCTGTTTAATATCTTCATATAGTCTAGTAATTTTAACATTTGAAAAACTTGCAGCTGTTAAACAACTTACAGCATTCCTCAATTTGTCCTATACCGCTGTTCTAAGCATTATGGCATGTGTTGTAGTCGTATCGCTATCATTATCTATCTTCCCAATTGTTTACTACGAGGTTTTTCATAACACTTATCTTACAATTCTTTTTATTTATTCAACAATCCATCCATTTATGAATTCTTTCAGAATTTTGCTACAAGATATCCATTATGCTTTTCTCTGCATCTGACAAATGAGAAGAAGACTGGATGGGTCTACTCTCTTTTCTTCTTTTCCATCTCACCAATCATCTCAGTTATAGTAGTATTTTACTTGTATATGAAAATAATCAAGGAGGTGATAGTATCAAAAAACGTTTTAACAAGAGAGCAGCTAATTACAAGAATGGCTAATTTACTATTTGTTGCATTCTTAACTGTCATTACTTTTATAATCACATGGGTACCTGTTCTATTTATGAGTATTTTGGCATCATTTCAGAAAAGTCCACTGACAAATGAAACTTACATATGGATATTTCTCTTTGTGTTACCTGTAAATTCAGCTTTAAATCCTTGTATTTTTAATGTCTTTGAATTGAAAGGATTAGTTAGGAAGAGACAACGAATCAAAGAGTATTCCCCCTTTTTCTCTTTTATCTTATGCAATTCAATGATATTAGTTTTCATAAAATAGGAATACCTTTCAAAATACTCTGAAAAGTCAATACCTCAGCAAAGGTATGTTTTTAGTCTATTACCATTTTCCAAACTGTAATCTGCAAACTGTTACAAGTTAAAGAGTTTTTCATTAATTCTGAAAAGAATGGAATCATATTTGAAAATTCTCATATCAAATATGACTATGTAAATTTTGATGGAAATGATTGCAAAGTGCTGTTTGAACTTTATCAATTTTTATCAAGGATAATTAATATTCTAATCCATATGAATAGCATTCAAATGCATTTAAAAGACATCAAGCAGAAGGCTTTTGTTTATAATGTAACTATTAACTTTCTGCTTATTCAATCATTTATATTATTGATTCACTAGAGAGACAGGAATGACCACATAACTTATTATCTGTTAATTCATAAAGCAACTGTAGTTTTGGATATGGAAGAAGACATTGAAAAGGAAAATATGGACAGTCTGATTCAATATGTTGGAAAACGTCTTCAATGCTTTTATTGATTGCAATAAAAACTTTCATTTTAGATTCAAAAATCTATTACAAACTTTTTAAAGTTGTTAGTTTCATTTAATAGGGTTTAGGTTAGGATTGACAAACCATCGATATAATTTAATGTATAGAACAAAGATTTCAACAGTCTTCTTTATTATAGAATATTGATCTATCAGAGAATAATCAATGTAGGCAAAACAACAAGAAATGTAAGACACTCTCAATAATTGAGAGTCTAATAACTCCAATGTGGAAACCAAGAGTAAATAAAAGGAAAGAGATGAAATTCTTTAGATAAATGAAAGTAGAACTCTTATCTAGAATGTCAAATATATCTAAGGAGGCATTCAAAATGAATACTGGACAAAGCATCCCCTGGTCTAAATATCCCCTGGACAAACTTTCCTTGGACATACAGTAGCATAGTTGAAAATGTCTTTAGATTATTTGTGATTATGAAATATATTTTTCACATATACAAAATGTATTTTTAAAAAAAAAATTAAATGCAAAATCTACTTAATAAGATATACGAAAAAGAATAGAAGGATAATTAAAGTAAAGTTAAAAGCAGCAAAATATATTAGATATGTTATCCAATAGTTGTAAAGCTGTTGTTGAAGCAATATTAAGTTCATCCCAATATTTGAAAATATCACTTTGATTGTTTTATAACATTTGTTTTGCAGCCTACAGACTTTTCCATCACTCAAAAGTTTCTTGTAGAGATTAAACAAATCTGACTCTCTTTTTAACTCATCTGTTAATAAGTAGAAGGTGCCTTTTGCAGATAAATTTTTGTTCAACCTATTGTGCCAACCTTCCAAGTCATTGTTAGTCCTCATTGTTTTCTGTAAACTGACCAAATACTGGGAACAAATAAATCTCTAGAAATCCACTGCTTGTCCATGTAGTCAATTAGGTTGTTTAGAATTTTTTTCTCAGACTTTGTGTTACTCAGAATATAAAAGGTTGCAGGGATGACATCAGTTTTTAGGAATGGCAGTGGCAGTAGTGTCTTCATTATCATTATCAATCATTTGTAGCAATACTCCAATGATAATTAACAAGATTATTCAATACTTGACTGTTTCTCAGGATTACTCTTAAAATCAACCGAGTTAATCTTGTTTAAATTTGTGAATAACTCTTCAGTTTTTCGACAAATATTTAGGGCAACTGTAATTTGATGGCTGTTAAAAGTAAAAGTCTTAATAGAGGAAAATTTTTGTGGGACTGGTATGCAGGGAAGATAATAATATAAATAGACCAATCTTTAAACATATATTTTAATAGAAGAGATATTAGAATGGATGTCAATGCTAATTCAGTACACCTAAATTTTCCAAAGATTGGCAAGAAACATGAGAAAAACAGCTTTTTTATAAAGAAATCAAGAAATTCTATGACTGGTGTATATTTGGATATTTTTTTAAACACTCTAAATTCTTATGAATTGGCTGATGGAGTCCTGGGCGAAGCTGTTAAGAAATCGTATCAATTCTTTCAACCAATTCAAAGTTTAAAGGCATC